TTCACCATCTGTGCCGACACCACATTAAATGGATTTCTCATTCGACCAAGAAATGTTGATGGAATCTCAGAATGATGACAATCAGCTTGGATCATTAGAAAGTATTCCTCAGGTAGAGTTTTTTCTTTGTTATGTGTGTTGCTATTAATGGCTTTCAAAGTAGAGTATTGTCTTCCAAATGATAGTATTGCTGGGCTCGGATGGTGTGATTACTATATTATTTGATTGGTGTGTTAATTTGTAAGTGTTATCATTGTGTTTAAGTTGTCGTAATGGTATTATCTTTCTAGTATTATTGTGGTTGATATTGTTTTTTCTGATATCATTTAAGTCTTATTTAGGTTTTATCATTGGTTTATTATGGTGTTATTATGATTGTATCATGGTAGTATTTATGCATTATAGACTTTCAAGAGTGTTTGTGTTATTATGATATTATTACTATAGTATTATGGTTGTATTACATATCATAGTGTTATTTATTATTGTATCTAATTAGTGTTTTTAACATAGTATTATGTTCGGTGTAAGTAGTGTTATTTTGGTATTATCATGATTTTATTATGCTAGTATTTTTGTATTTTTGTCTTTGAAGTATACTTTTGTGTTATTATGATATTATTTATGTGGTATTATGATTGTATTATGTATTATGTTGTTATTGATTTATCGTTACATACCAGCATGATTGTATTTACTAAATAGTTACGTTGAAGTGTTATTGTCAAATGTTGATAGTTTGCTTCGCGCGGTGGTTCATAATGAGAAGGAAGCTTATGAAAATTATTGAGCATATGCACACCATATTGGATTCACTGTGCGAAAGGACCATGTTGGTTTTTGGCCTAATTCAAAAATCATTAAGACAGAGGATTTCATTTGTTGTAAGGCTGGTTTCAAGAAAGAATTGAATAACAATGTGACAGTGAAGTACAGAAGAGGGGACACAAGGACTGGTTGTCCAGCCATGATCCGATATGTCGTCGATGTAGAAGGTAACTGGTCGGTTAAGAAATTTATAGAAACTCATAACCATCCTTTAGCGGCAGACGGTAACAAACATCTATTGCGTTCCAACAGAAAAATGGGT